TACGACCGATAATTGAAGGACACAGCAACGTGAATTAAAGTCCCCAATCGTCATTGCAACGACAATCGGATTGAGTTCATGGCAAAATTCCGCATACGCAATTACAGTATAAAAAACAAACATAGTAACTCAAATCTCAGTCAAAAACAAACGAAAAAAAAATTCCGATACCGGGAATCGAACCCGAGCCTCCTGGGTGAAAGCCAGAAATCCTAACCACTAGACCATATCGGATAGGTGATTGCGAGGCGCGCGGGAGCAGTCCTAATAGAGCGACGACCGAAGCCAACGACCGATAATTGTAGGACCCAAAAACGTGAAAACCCCCAATCGTATTAGAAACAATAGCTATGAGTTAATTTGAAAATTCCGCAAAGGCAATTAGGGTAAAAATAAAAACCAAGGATAATTAGATTAAGATTCCCCAAATCTCGATCAAAAACCAACCATAAAAAAGATTCCGATACCGGGAATCGAACCCGAGCCTCCTGGGTGAAAGCCAGAAATCCTAACCACTAGACCATATCGGATGGGTGGCGAGGGAGCGCGCGGAAGCGACCAGGCTCCACGATGGGAGTGGGGGAAGACTGTGCGCCACGCGCCGCCACCAGTTTGGCGCGAAAAGCGAGCCCGCCCGAGCCGGCCCACCCAGCCGCAGCCGCCTCTCTCTGTCTCTGTCTCTCCCCCCCCCCTCTCTCTCTCTCTCTCTCTCTCTCTCTCTCTCTCTCTCTCACTCACTTTACCGTCCCATCGTGCTTTAGCGTTCGAAAAATGGGGCCGAGATATAAACTATTCCGTTTTCTCCTCCATTTACATAAGTACATTGACACGAGCACATTTTGCACGACGACGCGGCGCCCGCGCCCGTGGCGCATTATCCGGATCGGAAATTAAATTTCGGATAGAACTTGATAGAGTGAAATGGGAGCAGGCCGCCCCCGCCTGCGGCCCCGCCCGCCAGCCCCGCCGCGGCAGACGATGAGTGTTTCAGTCGATGTTTCGACGCTCAAGGCCCCGCCCCGGCTGCGCCAGGCTGCCCTTGTGCGAACAACGCCACACACTGTGGCGTTAACACTAACAGGGCAACAAATTTAACCTCAACTGCACCACCTGGCGACCCGCGCCCGGCGCCCGCGACTCCACCGAATCGGTACGCTCTCAGGGCCCTCCGACTGTGTAGTGTGTATCGCCTTGGTTGTCTAACATGGGAGGGAATGTCAAATATAGGCTTTAACCAAATAAGCCGCGTACATTTCCACTGTCCTTTTTTCTCTACCGAGCGCCACGGCAGTTCAGCTCAGAGAGTGCCGCTCGACCTGAATCGGTATCGGGGCTACGCCCTTGTCGCTTGGGTAGGGTCAGGAAGGACGGACGGCGACGGACGACACGACAGACCCATATTGTCGGCACCGAGCACACACGGACAGGGTCGAACTCGGTCGAACCTTCCTCACCTCTGTTGTTTTAGTAGCAGGTTTGGGAGATTTTGGAAGGAGAACTCCGTTCAATGTTCAGATTCACTTGGATAAGATTTTAATAGCACGTCCGTACAGTACAACACACACGAGCTGAGTGAGAGGAACAGGAACAGGAAGTGTACACCATAATAACATGGAGCCTGCCAAGGAGGCTATGAGTATGAGAATTACTGGTTACATAAGTGGTGCCCTGATCGAGGCTATATACATATGAGAAATCTTCAGAGCACATCAGGCATACTTAAAGCTATATTTACAAGTAGAGAAATTGCATATTACAACAACCTCCTCACCCCACATTGGTAACGACGAGCAATAACTTTCATACAACGTTGTTGTGCTTGATTGATCGATTTTCGTTTAGTGATCAAGGGTAAGGGATTAAAATATGAGAACACAAAAAACAGGCACGACTAATAGGGAAGGAAATGAATTGAATTGTCATCGGGTATTTTAAAGATCAATTCTGACTTTTGCAAAGATTTTCACAAAGGTACTAATGGAAATAAATTAACTAGGCTATTCTGGAGATTTAAATCTAAAAATTAGCATTCATAAATTTATATCGAACTCCCATATGTAGAACCTTCTTTATCTACTTGATCGGCTTTGGCTACTGAGAGAATATTTCGTTGCAGCCATCAAATTTTTTACACATACCATCAAATCTGGTAGATCTTTCTGTATTCACAGGCGTCCGAATTTTAGTTAGTTGCCACCAAAAGATTAGTTACCGGTACTGTGAGTAAATCTGACCTAGGATAAAACCAAACAATTTGTGATGGCTGCAAAATAGCTCTCAGTGTAACCAAATGGCATATTACGTAGCACGTTCCATGTTGCACCAGCCCTTCTTGCCCGACCTAGGTCAATCGACCCAGTGCACAGCCCCGCCCCGCCATGCTACTGCATAGGCTCACCCACCGACAGCCGCCTGGGAGAGGTCAGGCACACTGCCGCCGCGGCTGCAGCAGAACGGTATTTTTACGGCGCGGCCGGGAAGGATGAAACATTTCGTAGGCGTCGGCGGGACACGACTCAACTTATTATTTACGGTGTCATACGGGTCATATTGGTATGGATGCAGGGCGACACGGCGGAACCAATGCTTAATCCAGGATATCTTTTTATATTTTGAATTTCACTCCACCGCGCTCCGTCCACCAGCACATATTTAACTTATGATTTGATCTCTGGTATTAATAATGGGCCTTTTGTTTAACTTTCTTGAAAGGGAAGACCGCCTAGCCACGGCTTGCCGGGCCGGTGGGGGTCAGGTCAGGGAGGGCTTTAGAAGTCGCGCTAACGGTATGCATGGAGAAAAGTTCGGCGAGGGGGATGAGGAGATTTGGGGGGCTTAAGCCGCCTGGAAATTACACTATGGCCGAGCTGGGCGCGAGCGGGGTGGGGCAGGCTATGGAGAGAGCACAGGGGGAGAGTCTTAGCAGTCTCACCCGGCCAGGAGAGAGAGAGAGAGAGAGAGAGAGAGAGAGAGAGAGAGAGAGAGAGA